ATAGTGCTTGGCATCTGGGAGGAGGAAACCCAAGAGGTGAGCCCCACATGTGATGATCCCCAGTTTCCCTCAAGGCATCCGAGAAGCTGAGAAGAGCATCTGGAAGATTCAGAAAGATTTGAGTAAGTTTGACAAAAACTGTTGTCAAGAACCTGCTGAGGAAGACGATGTGAACACCCCGGGTTTTAGGTTGGGATCCTAGACAAAAAGGCAAAGAGAAAACAGACTAATCCTTACAGGAACTAAATTCCAACTTCAAATCACCTTTCTTCCTGTTTGGATTAAGGTGATCTGAATTGCTGATGCCTTCAGCCTAGCTACTCAGCAGACTAAAGCTTAAATTCCTAAACCCTTGTGAAGGATGATGATCTCATCCAAAGCATCGCAGCCTATCTCTGGATGTTTTCATTGCATATGTCTGTCGCTCAGTAAAAAAACACATGCACAGAAGATAAACAATTAGCATCTGGAGGATAATATAGAAAACCGACTTTGTGACATTGGTATAGACAAAGATTTCTGAAACAGGACATACAAAAGATAATAACCAGAAAATAAGAGATCAGTCAATTGGATTAAGACCTTTTGTTCATAAAAGATTCCATTTAAGCCAGACGCTGGTAGCTCACGCCTATAATCCCTAGCTACTCAGAAGGCAGAGATCAGGAGGATCAAGGTTCAAAGCTAGCCTGGGCAAATATGTTCATGAGACCCTATCTTGAAAAACCTCTTCACAAACAAGGGCTGGTGGAGTGGCTCAAGTTGTGGGCCCTGAGTTTAAGTCCCAGTACCACAAAAAAAAAGATTCCATTTAAAAGGGAACAGGCAAGATACAAGGTAGGAGGTAGGAGAATATGTTTTTAACACATATAATCAGCAGAATACTCATATAGAATAATAAAGAACTTATAAATCAGTCTGAAAAAGGCAGACAATCCAATGGAAACAGGGGCAAGAAACTTAAAATGGGTACTTCATAAAGGAACATATCAAATAACCAGTAAATATACAAGAAGGTACTCAACCCTATTATTTGTCAGAGAAATGCAAACTGAAGCCACAGTGAAATACTACTACAAACCCACTACAACAGCTAACATTAAAAAAAGACTGACAACACCAACTGTTGCTGAAGATGTGAAGCAACCAGAACTCTTAGACACTGGAAGTGAGTGGTACGGTAGTACCACCATTTAGGAAAACTGGCACTATGTTCTGAAGCTGAACCTACACATGTCCTATACCCAAGCATAGGACATAGAACATACTCCATACTCCTAGGTATATTCCCCAAACAAATATATGCATAGTGCATCAAAGACATTTATAGGAATGTCTATAGCAGTATTTTTTTATAGTTGCTGCAAGTGGGAAAACAGTGTTTTTCAACAATAGAATGACAAATTGTGATATTTTCACACAATGAAATACTATGCAGCAATGAGAACAAATGACTAGAGCTATACCCCCAACAACATGGATGAATCATGTAAATAAAGTAGATGCTAATATATATATATATAACTGTATAATCTCATTTATATAAAACTGAAAGCAGGTTAAACCATCAAATGTTACTAGAAGTCAAAAGAGTGGCTGTAGAGCTACATTTGGGGAGAATGGGGAGTAATTGGTTTATGGCATGAGAAGAGCTGGTAATTTTCTACTTATTGACCAGTTTGGTGTTAAATGAGTGTGTTTATTGCGTGCTAGCTTGCAAAAGCACTATGGGTTGTAATATTTTGTGATCCTATTATACTTCAATAAAAATTGTTTTAACATTTTGAATGCCTCATCTATAATAAGCCACCTGCCCATTTGATCATGTCAATTAAAAAACCACAAAGGTTTAACTTTTTGTTTTTTAATCTTCACTCAGGACCAATCTACTATGATAGGGTCTGTCTTGTGTGTAGTCCAATTATGCCAGTATAAGATAGGACTTGGCCCAGTTCAACCAATAGAAATTATTCTCTACACATGAATTAAATACCCAACCTCCACTTCCCTTCCTACCTGCAGCACAGTTCACTGTGTAATCTTAATGAATTCACTTACAAAGGCATAGGTCCCCTGGATAAGAAGCTCTCAAGAGTCTCATGAGTCTACCAGGCTGTGGTTGGCTACCACAATGATATGCCAACATTCCTCCTAGCCACCTGTGCTTGAATGACTAACGCATGAGGTCCAAAAAGAGGGCTGAATATACCTGTCCCTAGATCACATCTTTTCTTACTCATCAGAAGTCATTCACCAACAACTCGGCAAGATTTCATCACCAATGTTTCTCAAACACAGGATGCTGCTTAAAAGGATACTTGTGGTCAAAGCTGTACCACAGCCTGAATATCCATGCACTCTCCTGCTTTGTTCGGTTTCCACCAGCAGAATCTGGGCCATCCTAGGAACAAACAAAAGGACACATGCTCAGCTGCAGAAAAAGGATCTGAAAGAAGAGGAGGTAAAAGTTTCTTTCTAACTTTTTTGTGGTGCTGGGAAGGAAATCAGGGCCTTGTGTATGCTAGGGCATCACAGTACCACTGAGCCACCCTCCCAACCCCACAAGTCATAACTTATATAGATCTAGAGCTCATTGTCAAACATATTGTGCCACTAAAGCTTCAAAGATATATCAAGAGGTAATATTTTAATAGAAATGGAGCAAATCTAAAAGGCAGAAAAATCATTTGTCAATGTAAAAAGGTTTGGTTAAATTTGTGGGTAGATAAACCCAACATTAGTACAAAATGTCCTTTGAAATTTTTACTGTGATTTTCCTCAAAGTACCTTTCAGTTGATTAATTATGCTAAAATAGTACAGATTCTTGCAGGTCAAAATCAATATATAGCAAATAGTAAAGAAAGCTTCTATAAAACCAACTTTCCAGGCACCCCAAACTTGGCCTGGAAAGGCCACTCTGTTGACTTTCCTGACAAACTAGCCAAAGGGTTCTCTGTGGTTCTTGCCCAGGTGCTCCAGATGACACACACACACTGCCTCCTTGCCAGCTTTAGGAAAGTGGGGCCAGTGGGCAGAGGAAACAGCCAGACTAGCAATTCTGTATTCTGTCTATGCTGAAGTAGCAAGTTTCTTGTTATTCATCTGAAGCTATTCCAATTCAAACATCCTCATCATTTAATTTTCAAAATCTACAAGATCAGGCATTCGTTTGAGGTTTGGGAAGTCTGTTTAGCTCTGTGCGAGTATCATAAGCAGTACAATTAATATAAAAAATCAGATTCACTTCAACAGATTGAGGGTACTACTGAGGTTCTCTGCCTCTGGATGACAAACTCTGAAACTACACACTACCACAGCCATTTTTTATCATCATCCTCTTTACTATTATATATGCAGAGGCAACTCTGCAAGTGAGCAAAAATTGACAACAACCAAATAAAACCTGAACCAAATCACAAGTAACTCCAAATCACAGTGAGTGTAGATTCTACATATAAAAGCAACACCAAGGATCAATCGGAGATCTTTGAGAAGATGAGCAGTAAGAGGGAAGCTAACAAACACTATTTAAATTCCTAAAGTTTCCAACAGCAAAGATTATTTTTAAAAACTGAATCCTCATGACAACTGAGGAATGTTTAGTTAGAGACAGGATATGAGATAGAACAATAATGTCGCCATTTTGTGAATCGGCCAAAATGGCAGCCCCGCCCTTAAACAAATTCCTGCGCTCTAAGACAGCCCCAGCCCTGCCAGAGACTACAGCACCTGTACTAACTTCCTTAACCTCCTCCTTCTATAAAAGCTACTGCTCGCCCAGACAGGGGCTGCGCCATCTTTTCCCAGGCCAGCCTGGCAGTTTGCCTGCCATTAAACTTTGCTCTATGGACGTGAGACTTTTCTCGTGAGCTTTCTTTGTGAGTGGCGTTTTTCCTAACAATATGGAAACAGTTTAGATAAATGTGCCCTTCTGGGGATGGGGAAATATAAATTAGGAGAAACCCCAGAGACCAATTGTGTTTTACATTTTTATAAATTTTGTGGAAGAAAGAGGACAGAAAAATGTCTCCATTTGCTGGTAACAATTGTTTCTTTGAGTAACTGGTTGCTAGCTAAAAAAAAATGCCATGGTAGATGACCTTTCTGATAGGCACATATCTTTATGGAAAAATTAAATGGTTCTTTATAAACTAAGCTCTCAGTTTGCAGTGCCTATAGAATTTTACTAAAGAAAAAAACTAGCAAAATGATAAGCATTATCAGGAAGGATCCTATAAACCATCAGGGCAAGACAAGTCCCCCAAGGTCAGGTTCTTCTACTCCTTCCCTTAAATCAACAACAACAAAAAAATAACGACCCCTACTCTGTGTCACCAGCCCTCTGAAAACAGCAATGCATTTACACAACTGGAATTCTTAAGTTCTTGCCTTCTTATCTCAAGGAAGCTACAAGATATTTATGTGTCCCCAAAGGGACAATTAAAATGAATAAAGACAGAGAACAGTCTATTTGACAACAAACTATCAGAGGGTTTTCTCAAGCCACAAAGCAACATCTCTGTAATCTGCAGGTAAGCCCTGCCAGCACTTTGATTTTGGCTTTGAAGTGGAGAAACCAGCTGAGCCCACCATTCTTCTGACCTACTAAACTGTCAGACCATGCAATTGTATTGTTTTAAGGCACAAACTTTGTGGTAATTTCTTTCAGTAGCCCCCCACATTAGTAGAAAGCAAACAGCAAATAAGTAATGCAACTTGATTTGAGCCTTTTTTAATGTCATGGGCCTAATCTTAGTACTTGTAATAAAGGGGTTAAAAACTGGTAATCAAGTCTCTGACAGTGCCATATGGGTAGTTTCCGTTCCCGCTTAAAACTCTTTCCACAGCTCCACCCTGACTACCTCAGGGCTTCTCACATTGCACACAGATACCAAGGATACTGCAAAGATGCAGGTTCTAGTTCTGGCTCAGTGGGACTGGGTGAGGCCTGACAGTCTGCATTTCTAGCAAGTTATCTCTTGACTGGGCCATGAGGACATCTGAGTAGCAAGGATAGGTCTGGGCCTCCTTGGGGAAGACCAGTAAGGTCTTCTACCATGGCTTCTGCCTCTCCACCCTACTCCTCCATCATACTGTCACCAAGCCCAGTCCTTCAGAACAGTCTTTCATATTGCCTCAAAGAAGGTCTGATATATATAACAGATACCCAACAAATACTTGTCAAGCAGACTGACAAATTAAAATTAAGTTAGAGCATCTAGAAAACAAAAAAAGTACAGAAAGAGAAATCAAGGGGCCAAAAGAGGCAACTGCAAGACAAAAAGAAAAAGGTTGGGGGGAGGGGCGGGATATTCAGACAGTAGTAATTTGAGGAAACTCACTTCAGCAACCATTTGAAGTTAAAGATTTAGGTAACTGCCTATCAGATTTCAGCCTGGAGGAAAATTGGGGAAGGCCCCAGAAACAAATGAATCCAGCCTGCTCACAGAGTCCTATGCCAGTACAACTATAAATAGCTCATTTTCTACGGTTCTTAACACACACACAGAAACTATGGTGGTTTTCTTTCCTCCACATTCCACTAAAGTCCAGCTCGTGCCCTGGTCTGGCTGACATGCTAAAGCTGCTCCAAGAGGGCCTGCCTCATCAATGAGCACTCTTCTGGAAACACAGGGAAGGAAGAGAATGATGTGTCTGCATGTTCAGCCAACAGAAATCTCAGCTGTCTGCTCTGGCATGAAAAGTACTCCCTTTAATGGGGTGAGAGGCCACCTCTGGGGCTGAGCAGCTTGCTTCCAGCTGGGCTTGTTTTTGTTTTGGTTGCAAAGTCACCAAGACCTCCAGAGAAACAAAGCAACTGCGTTTTCTGGGCTTGTTTGTTCTAATGAGTCAAAGTTGCCTGGGACACCAAGATGAAGTCTGCCCACAATATTCTTATGCTTCCCTCACATAGAACCCAAAGTTCCAGCCAACAGCTCCTTTCCTTCTTCCACATGAGCTAATGGTCTGTAGCTCTGTACCTCTGACACTGTTTACAACATTGGGCTTGTAGAACCAGTGAGGGAAATTACCCTTGTTGTAACAAACATGTTCCCTCCAAATATCACTATTGTTCACTTGTTTTTAGGAAGATCATTTTGAAAATGAGATCAAAAGAACATCCCTTTCTTTCCTACTGGAGGACAATGGACAACACTGAGCATGTGATCTGGATCTCTTTCAGGGGAAACTGTTTCACCCCCAAATGAGAAGCCTGTTTATTTCCATTTTCCCATTTCTCACCATCACCGGGTGCTCCCAGTTCTGCTGTTAGAGGCTCACTGGAACAAGGTCAGGCCAGGAGAATGTGGTGAGAGAAGGCCCCTTCTTCACAAGGGTGTGAGTCACTGTTGAGACTCACAGCCTGGGGAACCAGGTTGGAAGGTTGCCTGTTTCTCCCAGCCTGGCAGCCATTCTGAGGGCTTTCAAAAGGTCAGGTACTTTGAGGGCTCCTCTTCGTGAGACTGTGTGTGACACTTGGAAGGAGGAGGTCAGGGGGAAGGAAACTGTGACAGAGCTCTAGGCTGGCAAACAGGGTGCCATGAGGAGTGTAGCAGAAGTCACTGCCAGCCTATTCACAATGCATCCAGGCCCATCAGAGGAGGCTTGCCTCGTTTTGGGGAGGAGGTAGTATTTTAGCTGTCACTACATAGACTAAATGCCAAGCTCTTCAGACTTGCTGTTCTCAAATATGTCCATTGAAAAGTGACAGCAAGTTCTCTAGCAAGTCTAATTCCAAGCCAGGTGTTTCCAGTGTACATATCTTGCAAGAGGTATAGTAAGTTCCGCTGCATAACACCAACCAAACCACCTCACCTACTTCCTTTCGCAGGTGTTTTGAGTGCAGAGGAAGGAGTGTTGGGAAATGGCTGGGCTACAGATGTTTTGACTTGTCCGGAACTGTCAAATGCAATGTCTTCTCATCCTGGGATCCAGCTGTCCTGGACTGTTTTACTTACAGAATAAGTGAGTCTTAGATGACTCACTCAAACTGTCGCTCTTCAGTTTCTAAACTGTAAAATGGGAATAGCAGTAGCCACCTCAAAAGGTTGTAGTCAAGATGACAATGGGGGAGTCCAGGGAAAGTGCCCAACACAGAGCAAATGCTCATCATGTCTTCCTTAAGAACAAGTATTTCTTGTGACTTACCCCTTGTAAGACTTGAAAGCTGTCATTGTTGGGTGGTGGGTCTTGATCTGGGTCAACACCAACTCTAAAAGTCACCACAAGGAAGACAAGGAGAAAAGCAAAAAGCATTAGAGTGGCCCATGACAGTCATGCAGGCTGAAAGTCAGCAACCATCTTCCCAAAGCAGAGGGAATGATTAGCTACAAGGTGAGGAAGGTTGTCATGCAGAAATCAGGTTGCACACCACAGCAGATTCCCAAGAGCTGGGGGGTGATAGACACTGTGTGCTTATGCCCTAAGCAAGGCCTCTGGAAAACAGCACCTGCTGGCAACTGCTCATCTGCCTTCCTGCACCAGGTGTCTCTGTTACCAGAATGTAGGTTCCTCTGCACTTCTATCCTGACCTGCTTTGATGTCCCTAACATTTTGTTATGAAATTCTTCAAATATACAGGGAAGCATTAAAGGAACCTATCATGAGCACCTATATGTCCACCATTATGGAATTCTATCATTAACATTTTACTATAGATTTTTTCATTACTTATCTATCCATTTCTTCTTGGTGGGACTGGGGTTTGAATTCAGGGCTTTGCACTTGCAAAGGAGGTTATCGACTGCTTGAGCCACACCCCCAGTCAATTTTGCTCTGGTTATTTTGGAGATGGGGGTCTTGTGAACTATTTTCCCAGGTTGGCCTTGAACCTTGATCCTCCCGATCTCATGCTAGGATTATAGGCATGAGCCTGAAATCCCCTGTGGCCTTTAAGTTTTAATTAAAATTTAAATAGCCACATGTGTCACATGGCTAATGAACAGAACCATACAGATTCTAGGAAGTACTAATTATTCAGCCATGTTTCTCTACTGTCGCTTTTTTTCTCTACTAAAAAAGCGACAATTGCCGGTTAACTTTTGCTTTCTCAGTGATGACACACAAATTCCTGCTAGAGGCCTGCAGAGAAGCATCTCTAAGTCCCAAAAATATTATGTAAAACTTTGCTTGACACAATTACTTAGACAATGAAAAGATTCCTTACTATATCAGTATATGAAACAAAAATTAAAATTCTCTAATGCGCTTTACAAGGAATGTCATAAAAGTGAAAGAAATGGAAGAATTAGAAAATCTACATTTTCTGCCCCCAAGGATCATTAGAGAATGATTTTATCACTGGGTAAAAAGTTGGGAATCTGGCCATTCATGTAATATCAAAAGATAATTCTACAGAATACTTTTTAATTACAAAGAGAAAATGGTACTTTGACAGTAGAGAGACCTGGGATCACTTCCTTAACCAAGTGGTCAAACGTAACATCACTAATAAAGGGGCAGCCTGACAATATGTGGCACCTATCGGATGCGACAAGAAATATACAACAAACATCACTTTCACAGTATTTTTGACAAAAATTATTATCTGTCTCTAATCATGATGAAAACATCAGAAAAATACAGATTGTGGGACATTCTATAAAAATAACTATCCTGAATACTTAAAAAACTAAATCAATGTCCAAAGAGACCAGCAAGGATGGGAGGGATAAAGAAAGTAAGCAGACAAACAAAGTACATTTGTGTGTGTGTATATGTGTAAAATTCATGTCACTTTCCCCAGCTGTTATAAAGACCATGCGGGAGACTGGATTCCTAGGACATAGATGCCAAAGTATTTTAGTGGAAAGTCAGGACATCTGCAATGTACTTTGAAGTGTTTCAAAATGGTTGAGTGTGAGAAAGAGAGAAGGCAAAAATGATCCCCCCAAAATGACAAAATGATAACCAGTAGTGAATCCAGGTCAGTATTTGAGTATTCATTTATTCTTTCAAAATTTTTTGAAATTTAAAATTTTTCACAATTAAAAAGGAAGAATAGTTAGACCCTTGGTAAAAATTCATTTTTTTCTATTTACCTGCTTCTCTAATTTAATCTAATTTTCTAATATTGATGATTCATAAGCTTGTATTATTTCAAGGTCTGAAAACCATAAATTGTAAATATTCATGAACATAGGGTATTATATAAATATAGGTAAATATAGACAGTCCATTTTGCTCTTGTTATTTTGGAGATGGGGTCTTGAGAACTATTTGCCCAGGCTAGCCTCGCTCGCACCATGAGTTTCAAGGATATAGATTCAAGAAATTAGTTTTCTTTTCCAGATAAATCATGGAATGTTTTATTGAGAATCTCTTTCTCTTAAAAGTAAAGGGCAAGGAAAAAAATACCAATTAAGTGAGACAGATGGTTAATCGAATTCCAGCCAATACAGCCATGCTCAGGTCTGGTTGTATACATCTCCTGGAAACCTGTGGTTCTGAGGACAGTCTTACTCAGTGCCCCCTTTCCCTTCTGTATGGAATTCCAACTTTCTCTGTATCCACTTGCTGTCAACCACTTGTCTGAGATGCAACTCAAACTCCTGACAGCACAGAACCTAAAAGGACTTCCTGAGCCCAGCCTTAAAACAGTGCAAGGAACCCTGAGTTCTCTTGAAGTCCCCTACTACTGATACACGTATTTAATAGGAGAATCTTAAGCAAGGAAACAGAGATCTGCTTCCCAGCTTGCTACTGCTTTATATATGCCCAAAAGAAAACAGACCAGGGACCATGAGACCAAATGATGTTCTTGCGCAATTTCTTTTCCCATTCAAGGCTGTTTACTTTAGGGTGATTTAATAATTACTTTTCTGGCAGTTTTGAGGGCCCCTTGGACCAATCCCCAAGGATGACATAGGACCCTTGGGTACTCTACAAAAGGACCCGCCCTTGGGGCAGAGCCCAGAACTAAACTGGTCTCTGGGAACAGGAGATGAGATAAAGCAACAGGTCAGGGTATTTGGTATGGTGCTAGGCAGCAAGAAAGGCTAGATAAAGGATTTTAAATTGCAGATCTGAAGTTGCAGAAGGTTGATGTGGCTCCTTAACTTTCTGAAATTCCTAGTTTCAGATAGCTTCCCACTATATACAATGCTTTTGATCCAGGACACTATATAAACCTGGAACGTTTTTGCTGCTTTATTATATCATATTTTAGCATTCCCCGACACATGTAGGTTGAGCTTATTAGAGCATACACGCAACAGTCTTTTCTTCCAGAATGAACTGAATTATTATTTTCAGTAAGAATGAAACAAATGTGGAAATTCCACACCAAATGAGAAAATAAAGCAATCAAATTGATGTGCTCAGTCTGGAATGAATTAATAAATACCAAAATTAATAACTTCCCTCCTAGTATAATATTTTTCCATTCTGATTAGTGGATAAAATGCCATGCAATCTCAGAAATTTTAAAAGTGTTCTACTTTAATCAATAATTTTTTTGCAGGTGCTGGGGACTGAACCCTGGGCCTTGTGCATATGCTAAGCATGTGCCCTATCACTAAGCTGCACTCCCAACCATCAACAGCTTTTTAAAAATCCCAACAGGCAAGGTTCTGAATAATTTGAGGAATGTGAGACACACACTTTCATTCATATAAAACCTTGAATACCAGACTATAATCTGAATTCTCTCATGTCCCAAGTGTAATAATTTACACTTGCCTAAAAGACCTTCCTCTTTGAAGGTGGGATGCGTCCATGGAAATGGGGCTTCATCTGCAACTTAACTGGTACCTAAAGTCAGGTCTCCAAATATGAACTTTCTATTTACATATAAATATGTATATTTATATTTAAATATGTATATATATATATACACACACAGAAAGAGAGAGAGAGAGAGAGAGAGTGTATGTGTATGTGTTACACAGTAGAAGAAAGTGAACCCAGTAAGCTATTTAAATACTTCAGCTAGGGCTGGGCACAAGGCTCTATGTATAAACCCTAGTACCACCAAAAAAGAAATAAATATTTTAATTAATTTCATGCATGTCATTATGTCATTATTATGTATATCTGGGCTGTGATATCCCAAGACCCATTAAGGTACTGCTGTTCATACCACTGTCCCCAGGGAGTGAAAATTTTCACAATGTCTAGAACAGAGTTCAAGCCTACTTTGCATTTGATGTATCTATGAGCACCAAGAATCAAATCAAGAAGACAGCATGCCAATTTGAGATGCAGAGAGGAAAAAAGAAACATTAAAGTTTTTACTGTTTGCGCCTACATCACCACCCTTAAGCATAATTATATCATAAACTTTTATGGATATTGAGAAACCAATTGCATCAGAAGGATCTTTATTCTTTTGTTAAACAAGTTCTTCATATAATCTGAATCACCATGAGAAGGTACAAGTACACAAATATATTCTTTAAAAAAATCACAAAGCACGTTGTTTAATCAAGATCATGGCTGAAATATATCTGTGTGAGTTACAAGCCTTATTTACTAGATCCTAAATAAGACTACATGGAAAAAGTTTCTGTGGCTCTGAAAATGAGTTGCTCTAAACACTAACTGAGCTTAGTTGTACCAAAAGGAGACACATACCAACTCAAGCAAGCATTGGGGTTGACAACACATGGTTCAAAACACGGGGAAAAAGGCAGAATCCCAGGATCACTGACACATAAATCACCCCAGAGAAAATGTGGGAACGATGATTACAACTGATTTAATTGGTTGCCCTTTGGCTAAAAGGAGCAAGGTTTGGTACACTTAGGAAAGAAGAAACACACAGCATAAAGAGAAATGTCAGATTAGAAAGAAAAGTTAGGTGCAGTTAATTGTTTTCTGAAGATTTTGTGTCACCTGAAGTACCGCCAGCAGTGTTCATTCTGGTCCTCTTCAGAGGGCTCCTCCACACCAACTCTGGGCAGCAGAAGAAGGGAATATGAGTGTGACGGGAAAACAGGGGTGACAGGAACTCTACGCACATGATCTGGACCATGTCCATGGAAAAGAGGCCACTTCACTTTCAATATAATTCCATACCCCTCTTTTTTGGGGGGGGTGTTGGAAATGGAACCCAGAGCCTTGTGTATGCTAGGCAAGCACTCTATCACTGAGCTACATAACCATCTTAAATTGTCCCCATTGTCTAGAACTCAGAGGCGGCTAAGTTTAAATTTAAAGCAGCAATGTGAGGAGCCAGGTCAAATGAGGACCAATTAAGAATGAAGCTAAGCCTCTCGAAATATAATATAATGAAGTCAGAGGAATAAATGCACCTTATAGAAGATGAATTTATTCAAAATTTCATGAATTTGTCTGTTTCATAAAGTAAGATATGTCCACACAAAAAATAGAAAACAGGAAGTTAAGTGCTACTAAACAATGAATACATATTTAGAGTGCTTATACATAAGTTTTATACACATTTTACAGAAAGAACAAAAACACCATATTATTGAAAAAAGAGCAACAATACTTAAGAAGATAGTACTTAAGAAAAGATGCCTTCTCTTTTTAGAAAAGCAAACCACACTGCTCACAGATTCTATCTGAAGGCCAAGAACCCAACTCCTGCTATTTTCTTTCCCTTGTAGTCTTTGACGTGACATGGTCCATTTTCACCTTCCTTAGTCGGTTATTCAGAGTGCACTGAACTTAACCATCACATTAGAGCATGGTTTTGCAAACTCAGCACTATTGACACTATTGACACTTGTTCATTTGGCCTCCCCACCCCATCATCACTACCACTTCATGTGTGTCCCCTGAAGCTGGAGGCTCCAAGAGAACACGTAAGACACAAAAAATTTTTAACAAAACATTCATTCATAGGGTTTAGCAATATGTAAAATAATGCACCACACCCAAGTGGGGTCTATTCCAGAGAAGCAAGACTGGTTCAATATTTGAGAATTAATCAATGTAATCCATAGTACACGGCTAAACAAGAAAAGTCATATGGTCATCTCAATTGATGCAGAAAACACATTTGACAAAATTCAATAACTGTTCATGATAAAAATTCTCAAAAATCAAATAGAATATAGGAATTTCTTCAACTTGATGATAATATCTACAAAAACCCTATAGCTAATATGGTGGCTAATGGTGAAAGATTCAATGCTTCCCTCTTAACACAGGGAGCAAGGAAAGCATGTGTACTCACACAACTATTATTAAACATATTACTGAAAATCAGCCAGAGGAATAAGGCAAGAAGAAAAGCCATATGGGAAAGGATAAAATACAACTGTCACTATTTGCAAATGACATGTAGAAAATCCCAAAGAATCTACAAAACCAAAATACTCTGTCAAAACCCATCCTAGAACTAATAAGTTCAGCAAGGTGACAGGATATAAGATCTAATAAAACACATATAGGCCTTTTATACTGAAAACTACAAAATACTAATGAAAGAAATCAAAGAAGGTCTAAATAAATGGAGAAACATACTGTGTTCATGGATTAGAAGACAGGACATAATGAAGATACCAATATCCCTAAATTGATATAAAGGTTTAAGGCAATTCCTATGACAATCCCAGAAAGATTTATGTATGTATGTATGTATGTATTTTTAGAGACAAGGTCTTACTGTGTAGCCCAGGCTAGCTTCAAACTCCTGTCTCAGCCTTCTGAATGCTGGGATTACAGATGTGTACCACCACACCTGGCTAGAGAAAGTTTTATTTTAGATACAGACAAGATTTCTCCAAAATTTATATGGAACAGAACTAGAATGACTACAACAATTTTGAAAAAGAAGAATAAAGTGGGAGAAATCTATCTACCTAATGCCAAGGCTTATTGTGTAACTACAGTTATCAAAACAGTATGGTACTATTGGAAGGACAGACACAGAAATCAATGGAGCTGAACAGAAACAGATCCCCATGCATATAGACAACTGATTTCTTATGAAAGAGCAAAAGTAATTCAATGGGGGTAAGGATAGTCTGTTTCTTTTTCTTCCCATTACCAAAAGTAGGAGCTCAATCTAATGCACAAACAATAGGGGCTGTCAAGTTCTTTAATCCTTTTATCAATCCTTTCAACCTTAGTCTTCCTAATAAATTATACTGGACAAAATATAACCTCACATCTTATATAAAAATTAATTCTAAATGGATCATGGACTTGAATGTAAACCACAGAACTAAAAACCTTCAAAGGAAATAACACAGAAGAAAAATTTCAGGAACTAGGGCGGGTGAAGAGTCCTTAGACATGACACCAAATGCATGATCCATGAAAGAAAGCTTCCACTTCGTCAAAATTAAAACTTCTGCTCTATGAAAGACTATTAAAAGGATTAAAAGACAAGCTACAGACTACAAGAAATTATTTATAAACATGTATTTGGTAAAAGAATAGTATCTAGAATCAAGAAATCTCAAAACTCAATTAAAAAACCAAATCAACCCAATTAGAAAACAGACGAAAGACTTGAACAGACATTTCACCAAAGGAGATATATGAACATTAACTATACAGATGAAGAGATGTTCAACATCATTAGCCATGAGAGAGATGCAAAGCAAGACAACAATGAGATATTCCCACACATCTATCTGAACAGGTGAAATAAAAAACTGATAATACCAAGAATGCTGAGAAACTGGATCTCTTGTACACCACTAGTGAGAATGTAAAATGGTATAGCAACTCTGGAAAACTGGCACTCTCTTAGAAAATTAAACATATTTACCACCTGACCTTGCAGTCACATTACTGGATATTCATCTTGAAGATATGAAAACTTACACTGATACAAAAACCTATTCAAAAATATTCACAGTAGCTTTACTTATAATAACCACAAAATTGAAACTACCCAGATGTCTTACAAGAGGCAAATGATTAAATAAATTCAGCAACAAAAAGGAACAAACTACAGATATGTATAACAACTCACATGGATGGCCAGGACATTATGCTCAGCAGGAGAAAAAGCCAATCTCCAAAGATTATGTGCTATATGATTCCATTTATATAATGTTCTTGAAATGAAAAAAATTATAGGGATGGAGAACAAATTAGAGGTTGGCAGGGGTTAGGGATGGTGGGGGATAAGGAGGTAGGTATGACATCTGGGGTAGAACTTGGGATGTCTTCATGTTGATGGAACAGTTCCGTATCTTGATTGTAGTAGTGCTTACACGAACCTACACATGACAAAATGCCAGAGAACTATGCACACAGGTGGGACCCAGGTCAACTCCTGATTGTGCTATTACAGTACATCAGTCTAAGATGGAGCCACTGGCAAAAACAGCATGAAACATACACAGAACCTCTCAGTTCTACTTTTGCAACTTCCTTTGAATCTTTAACTATTTTTGCTAAATAAGAAAACTTCTATGTCCTGAAATCTTCTGGCAAAGAAACTCAATAGAGGTTTGCCCAAATTTGACAATTCTAAAAATTTACAGATTATTATCAATAAATAGTGAAACTCAAGGATTCTGTCCTAAAATACCAATAATAGCAATATTTTAACCACCTGTGCTACAGAAAAGACTGCTTTTATTTCTAATCTCTCTGTAGAATATTAGAAAACGATTGCATGAAGAGAGGCTCAAAACGTAGGCATGTTTTTCAAAAAGCAGGAAAAAAAGTGTTACAGGCTTAGGATCCCCTATCTCAAATGATTCAGATTTCAGGGGTTTTGGGGGTTTGGAATATTTGCATAGACTTTACCGGTTAAGCACTCTTAATGTAAAAATCTGAAATGTGAAAACTCTAAAATTGGAAACTTTTTGAGCATTATGGTGGTTAAAATTTTTGGATTTTGAAGTATTTCAGATTTTCAGATAAGAGATACTCAACCTGTACAGAGAACCGTCAGGCAGCTAAATAAAGAAAAATTTATATGATTTTTCCAGACTTCATGATATTTGCATTTATCATGAGCTTTTGAAAACTTTGAAACATCCAGAAATTTACTTCTCATTCAATTCACAAATATCACTTTCATATATGTATTTAGAAAATATTCATATTTATATCTGATTTTGTATGAGCAATTTTAAATAGCTTCCCAACCTCTATAAAAAAAGGTTCAGACTCTACAAAATCAGAATGTGCTACTATACCCAGGTATTCTGGTAAACTGCTTAAGAACATATAAACTTCAGAGTTGCATAAAAACCTTGACCTACTATCATATAACAGACCAAAGGCAAGCTATCTAGCCTCCTTTTCCCCAGCACTGCTAGAGATTGAACTCAGTACCTCATACATGCTAGGCAAGCACACCATAACCACTGGGCCACACTCATTGGCTAACCTCTTTAAGCCTTGGTTTCTTCATCCATACAACACTCCTAACACAAAGATATATGAATGAATATATAACTGGTTGCTTGAAAATGTTAACATAATACAACTGTCCCTCAGTATCCATAGGGATTGGTTCCATTAATAACGAAATTCATAGATGCTCAAGTCACTTACATTAAAGAGTACAATATTTGCACAGAACCTATGCACATCCTTCCAGATGCTTTAAATCATGTTTAGATTACTTGTGATACCTAATACAGTGTAAATGTTATGTAAAAAGTTATATTGTATTGTTCAGAGAATAATAACAAGAAAAAGTCTATACATGTTCAATACAGAAGCATTTTTTTCTGAATATTTTCAGTCTGTGCTTGATTGAATTGATGCAGAACCCAGTATGTACAGAAAGCACTTAGAACATAACATGGAGGGCTTAATTGCATACAGAAAGCACTTAGAACATAACACCTAGTGCATAGGGAAAGTCAGAAAATGACTTAGAGCAGGTACTGTTGATTGCCTGCTCAATAGTAATTCTCGCTTTCCCTTCCTACCAGCCCCCAGCCTAGTTCAGATAGTCTTGCCTTGACCTACAGCTTATGTTTCTCAGGGAAAATTGCCCATGTTCTCAGCTCTGGGCAGGACTGTTTTAACAGCCCACTTTTTGAAAATGGTCATGAGAAGTACAAACGAGTAAACTCTGAACTCTATTTGGTTCTGCATATGTTTGGAGTGGGGTGGAAAACAGAAAAAGACTTATAAAACAACATGAAAAACAAGTATGATTTAATAAGGCACTGAGAGGCCAGGGTACCCACTGGGTGACCAGAAAAATTGGAGCAGGAAATAATCTCTGAGGTCACAGAATACAAAGATTCTCAAGCATGTGCAGAGTCAACCTCCTTTCTTGCCCTCATCCTGCTAAGATGAGGCATCATCTTCTGTTAAGTTTAAAGCCACAAGATAGTAAATTTTTTTCTTCAGGTTTATATTCCCAAAGTCAGATTCTTTTCCCTAACCTAATTCTTGGGATTCATGCCAGGAAGCTGAAATTCTAACCATCCCAAATTTTATAATAGCACAGCAGTCCTTCGCACAGCAGCCCTTCTTACAGGTGGTACAGCACAATGAGTAAGCGTGTGGACTCTGTGACAAGACTGCCTGGGTTCCAATCCTAGCTTATCCACTTAAAAGTTCTGTGACCTTGGGCAAGTTTTTTGCTCTCTTTCTCCGTTTTCCCAACTCTAAGATGAAAATATTAGCATTATCTCCCTTTATGGGAATGTTGTGAGAATTGTCTAAATATATGCATGGCACCTTCAACAATACCTCCAGCCCAAGTGTTAGTAATGACTATGATTGTCACCAGAGAGGCCCTACCTGGATCTGAAGGCTCAGACATGGTAGCCCAGAAATGGTGCAGCTGGCAGTGGTCAAGCCCAAGAAGCCCTGCCTACCATCAATACAAAAGCCCCAACTCAAGGATGGCTGAGAGATCCTTGTTTGTCTTCTCTCCTCAGAGGTATGTATCTATGTAAATACTGCAGCTGTCTCCTGCATTCTACATTCTAGAAAAGGAATACAAACTAAAACCTAGCTGAGAAAGAAGAAAAAACATTGCCATCTTGTGGCTTTTTAGAGAACAATTCCTCATGCCTGGCACTACTCAAGTGCCTTCCTGATGATTACCTCTGCAGACCTGACATTGCTGCAGGTGGCCAGTGCACCTCCAGTGATGTAGAGTGCAACACTTCAAGGTGCAGGGCCCTGAAGGCACTCTGGTAGACAGCGTTCATTTAACATGGAGGAGAATTGGGGCACAAAGACACAGGAGCTTGTCTTAAACCATAGCCAGAGTCGGGCTGGGGGTTTCTGGAACCTTGTTCCAATGTCTGCTTGGCCATAAGGTGCTGGAGCTCACAAACAGAGTTTGGAATTCAAATACTCTTAAAAAAAATCAAACTCAGGTTGGCATCATCCCTCTGACCTGAAAGAGGAGCAAAACCACAGGCAGAGGACATCATGAGGTTGCAACAGATGAGGGTTACATAGAAAATGTCACTTTTGTGCACTCAAGCAAGAAGAGACACAGCATATTATTCCACACTAAAACAAAGCTCTCCTTTTTTTCTAGCTGAGAAATTTATCCTTCAGGCCCTAGATTTCATCAAAAGAGAAAGTGAAATACTGGCATTGCCAGGATTACAGGTATGCTGTCTCTCCTGTAGCTTTAAGACTTTTTGAATTCTTACTGTATGTCACTGGTCTAGCAAGACCCAGTTGTTTCGAACTTCCTGTGTATACAGAGAAAAAAATTTAATGATAACATGTTTTTCCTCCTGGAAAATACCAATACTCCAAACTTTTATTTTTAAAATTTTTAATCCCCTCTTAAAACAAAAGACTGAAAACCTTCCATGAACTGAGCTGCAGCACACCTCATATGGTATTTGAACATTCTCAAGAACTGTGACATCTGACATAATGAGACACAAAACTGGCCTTAGTTCCAAACTGACCTTATATTAAGCCATGACAACATGGGTGTTGTGCCTCCACCAATAATCCAGACAGTGAAGAAGACAATGAGAAGGGTGGTCGTGAACATCATCTGGCGAGCATAGGATGCTGTGTCGCGAATAGCCAAGGCAAATGCCATTGCTCCCCTGAGGCCTGAAGGGATCAAAAAGGAAGAGCTCTTGGTGACAAGGATAACTGACAATGTCTCCTAAAAATCCACAGCTGCAACTGGGACTGATCAACTCCAGCATGTGTGTTTTGGGGATGGGGGTATAGCTCAGTGGTGGAGAGCTTGCCTAGCATGTGCTAGGTCCTAGGTTCCATCCCAGCAGCACAAGAAACCTCCCCCAAATGAAATAATTTCTTGTCTGACACATGTGTGCTTTGGGAGCCAAGTTGTTTTACAGAGGAAGAAGAAACTTAAAGGCATGTGGCTTTATTCTCTTTGAAGTTGTCTTCTGCAATTTTCCCAAATAGAAAAACACTGCACATTTTAGAAAACTAACACATTACTTAAACAGTTCTCTTGCTAGTAACCTAAAATAAGAAGAAATATAAGTAAGTAATAATAACAAACGTCTCTAAGCATGTGATCCAAATACTACCCACATACAGTCAGGCTAGGGATGAATACGTCAAATGCACATTTGTGGAAAATGAGGCAGTATTTCCTTCACAAAGGGAGAAGCCACACAGAGAAGTGAAAATAGCTTAACTTGTATCAGGGGTTGGCAACTCTTTCTGCAAAGGGGTAAATATTTTAGGCTTTGTGGGCCAAGAGGCAAAATCATGGATATTGTGTAGGTACTTAAGTAAAAGAGAGAAAACAGATTGCAACAAATTGTTATTAATAAAAAATCAAGACTATAATGACGATAACCGAGTATACTTTGTTGTAATACAGGTCTACTAGTGAAATACTAATAGAATTCTTTGGGGGATATTTTGCTTTATTAGGTTTCAAAGTTGGTGTTCCCTATCATCAAACAGATCACAAATACCCATCTGTAAAAGGCATTCTTAGCTGGTGAGGTAGATAAAAACAAGCAGCAGCCTGACTTAGCCCAGGGGCTGTGGTTTGATCCACATTAATGGGGTTTAAGATTAACATCAACATTTAAAAATTTTAAAGTTTATTTTTGTAAACTCTTTAGTTCCTTCCCCATAATTTATTTTATAGTAAAGACAGGATTCACAGTCTTTAGTACATATCTAGTATAAATTCTTATTCACCATGGGCAAGGCTATGCATTATATGAGAATGAAAACTTAGATTACTGTCTGTTTATACCTTTTCCCTTTCCCAACAATTTCACTATTATCAATATTATCTGAGGGTTTCACTACAAATCACTAAAGAAGAGTGACTCAATAAAAGTTGCATTAAAAATAAGAGAGCACAGTTGATATTTTCTATTAACCAGTCCTAGTGAAATGCTATTCATACAGAGGTCCTCAGCATCAGTACTTAAGCTTTTCCATGAATACTATCTCAAAGAAGAGAACCTGGGGGTCAGAGAGAACCAATGTATGACACATATTTCTTTATTAGACAAACACCATAGGCAGTATGAAATTGGGACCTCAGATATTTCAATGCCTTGAAGAATGGGTTCCTTTTGATAGCCAGATTTCTTCCAGCTTTAAGCAGCACTGTGTAAGGAAGATGATGAACATACTTGAAGTTTACCTAAATGACATTCTTCATCTTTGTCTTGTCCACCAGCATTCTCCTAACATACGTGCAGGAGCTCGCCATTGCCCTTCCTTGTCAAGCTTCTCAGTGTTTGCCCACTGCCCTTGGGTAAAATCCAAACTCTTTGGCACAGACCTGAAGCTTCTCTACAGTCTCTACTCTAAAGCAGTAGTTCTCGAAGTATTATTCTTAAGCCACCAGCAGCAGCCACTGAAAATGTGCTAGAAATGTAAATTCTAAGGGCCCACCCCAGAATCAGACACTGGCAGTGGGTCCTGCAATCTGGGCTTTAACAAGCCCAATAGGTGGTCCTGATACAACAAAAAGGCCGTGAAGCACTTGTTTTGGATGCCCCTGTCCTTTCCTTCCTCTTTCTCTTCCTGCAATGCAGGATGTGTCTGATTTTCAACCAGACATTTTCCTGAAAAGCCGCCGGGGCAATGCTTGTCTGCCATCCACCCTGCTGCCTCCTGGAATGCCATTTCTTCCAAGGCCATTTTGAAAGCCACACCCTTGGTGAAGACAGCTTTGAACCCTCCTCTTCTTATCCACATGTCTCTCATACCTCTTTGTGCAAATGTCTCCCCCTCATTGAAGGAGGGTGGTCTTTGTAGAACTATGGTTTTTAAGAAGAGGATGCCAGCAAATGTTTGTCGGGATGAAAGGTCAACCTTATGTTCATGCGCAAGCTAGCATGAGTCAGTGAGTGCTTTATGGAGCAGGGCCTATTGGTGTGACTAAAATATGACTCTGTGAGGCCCCAATAACCACTGAGAAAGTGAAGCCAGCTGGTATAGTCCTCTGATACAGTCCCTCACAGGACAGAGGTACCTTTAAGGGTCACAGTAGCCTTTTGACCCTAATATCTCCTCCCTGTTCTGTAGAGATGCTCTAACCTAGGTCTTACTGCTATAAAGGCTGATGCTTACCACAGGCACCACATTATCTACTTGTGACAATTGCTCTCATTCCTCTTCACTTCCACATCTTTCTTTATTGTCCTTTGTCCTCTTGGTGACATTTCTGGACCTCTCAGCTTTATAGTGAAAAGGGAGGGGGGATGTAGACAGCATAAATTGAGAACTGCCACAGCTGTTAAATACCGGCTTTGGGTTCACCATGCTTTGTGAGTATATTTTATTACTTTTGCTCCACAGACAGAACTAGGAAGGACTTCAACTAATTAGCTCAATTTCACTATTTTATAAGAGAGGATACTGTAGCTGGGAAGTGTTGAGTCATAGCCCATGCTGTCTCATCATGAGCTCTTTTCCTTCTAATTTTCAATCTGGAACCCTTCTAGAAGCTTAAGGGTTATAAACATCTACTAGAAGACAATTAAGCACTTTGAAAATTTATATATCTTCCGGTTCCTTGGGTGGTAGAGATGAAATAAATATGCAAATATTTCAAGGGAGAATGTTCACATTTGGTAGTATAGTTTGTCAATCAATACTAATTCAGTTAACTGTACATCTGTCCACTCAGCACTGTAGGGGATAAAAAAGAACCAGAAAATTGGATGTCTTTTTAATGAGCCTTACTGATTTTTTTTCTTTCTTCTATTGATTATATTCTAATCACACTATCATTGCTTGCTAAATAAAACTCATTTTCTTTACATTTATACTTATTTACCTGAAAACATCATCATGTGTTGAAAATTCCAGCCAATCTTATGCCTTCTGCCCAAGTTGAGGAAGAAGGAGAGTGGGTAGATATGCGCAGCTCTGCCCAGGAAGATGGCAACCTGACCAATGGGTAGAGGTTAAGGGCCCAACATGTTTTCAGAATGGCAGTGCCACACAAACTCTGATTGAGCAGAGAATTTTAGGAATGCTGTGATCTAGAGAGCTGCTCAAAGAAACCAGGCTACCCAGTTTCCCTCTAGACAAATCTCTCAGCAACAAAATGGGAATCATTAGGCCAACTTCCCCACTTCCTACAAAATTTGTATCTTGTTAAAGACAATGTTGTAACTTTCTGACTTAATTCAACTGGTACTGACCATTCCCTCAATCTCTCTAACAATTAGCCCAGAGATTAGCTTAAAGTACCATGGCAGGAGTGGGAGCTGGCAGGGTTGGGAGCTGACAGGAGCAAACTGTGGTTGGGCTCTGCTGGAATTAAAAAATGACTAATCCCGGTGGCAAGCCATAAAGAGAAAGTTTGCTGGATAAGATCTTGCAAGCTTCACTTGCAATTAAACATCAAGGACTCCAATGTCCAGGAAGATCCTGCAAATAAGAGGTAGGGAAACAAAGTATTCATATTACAGAGACATTCAGATCACTCACAAGAATCAACCAGGGGAAAATTTTCTACCTAAGTGGCTAAAATGTCCTTTGGAGATCTATATTCTTCCTTTTCCACTTCTTATAGGAAGATTTTGGAAAAAAAAGACCTCTACTGTGGGAAGCAAAGAATTCAGGGAAATAGGTCATCTGTCACTTGCCAAGTTTAGACAGTGCCCAACAGAGAGAGCTGCACACTCCTCTAGTCAGAGAAGGAAACTCCTGTGGGAGCCAGAGGAACGGGGAGCTTCCGTTTGGGCAATGTGCCAGTTGCAGGGTCACAGCTGTTTCAGACAGAAGCCAGGGCTGAACTATCTTCTACTTCCTCCAGGGTAGAGTGTTGACTGTTTTTCTTTTTTCTTTCTTCCTTTCCTTTCTTTGTTTTGTTTCTAACAAAAGGAAACAGGTAGTGCTCATAAAGCACATTCTATCTCACAGGCAAAAGAAAATTCTGTAAGCAGTCAGCAGCAGAAGATTCCCAGGGGACCTGGCTCACCCCACAACGGGCCCTGATTTATAAACAAGGACTGTGCTCTCACTATCTCTCACCGGATGTCATGCTAGGAATACAAATCAGAACAACATGCCAGGTCTTCCTGAATGGAGAAGAAAAACACTAGTTCTGCACATTCGTCTGGTGAGTGTAGAAACCCACCAGTTTAAGCATATGGTACTCTAACTAGAAGGCTGCCAGCATCCCCACTAGATAGCAGCTTGCATGGGTCAGTTATTCCTACATAAGAAATGAAAAGCCCAAAAGGGCAAAACACTCCCTTTGGACCAACATACCCAAGAGTTAAGGATTCCCATGACGTTTCAGAAAAGGTGGAAGCAAATGTCCAGCAACAGGGAACTTCTGCTCAGGATCTTGAAATCAAGCCCCAGAAAAGTTCACTTCAGTGAAAACAACATTATCTGAGGACAAGTGACCAGAAGCCTTCAGCTATTGATCCATTGCTAGGCATTCACATCCCTCCTCACTTGTCAAAACCTGACCCCCAAAACTATGTCTCCCTTCCAAAAACTGCATTTACAATGGGACCAAGTCAGAAGTATTTTTTCTTTTTCTTTTCTTCTTCCTTCCTTCCTTTTCTTCCTTCCTTCCCTCCTTCCTCTTCCCCTCCCTCCCTTCCTTTCTATCTACCTACAAAGTATTTTTCCATTTTTTCTTTTCTTTTCCTCCCTCCTTCCTTTTTTCTCTTTCTTTTTTGGAAAAACAAAGGAGTCTTTCCCACCATGCAGCAGGGCAGGTCAGGTGAAAGTACAGTTGATGCCTGCAGACACCCCAGGGCAGCATGAGCCACAGCTGACATGTTGGGTATACAGTTGGGAGCAAGAGGAATGGAACCTTCCAGTTGCCCAAATCAAGAAACCTCCTGGATTAGAATTCACATGGCAATGAAATGTCAAAAGCAATTCCAAGGGATGCCATGGTTGCTGACTTTCAAATCTACCCAGGAGGAAACTCTATAAATCAATCAGCTGCAAGCACCAGCTTAACACAAAAAAATGCAGGATGGCCTGAGAATAAGTTCCATTCCTTACAATCAAACATATTTCACTTTGTGAAGAAGCACCACATAAGCCTTCTTTTTCTCACTGTAAAAATATCATAAACTAGTACTAGTACTGACTTAGACACCTATCCAAAACAGAAATAATAAAAATAATAATTATTAGAAGTATTATTTGTAGTAGTATTAGTAGTAGTCGTTGCCTCTCTGTGTGCAAAGTGGTGGAACAAGAAAAGGATACAAAAGCGCCAATGATGAAAATGGGGCTGAAAACATGCTTCTGGAAGGTAAACAGTGCCAGGCCCATGTAGGAGAAGATGAAGTTCTCTGCCAGGAAGTGTAACACCTCAAAGAGCTGCATGGAGAAGGGAAAAGGAAGCTGTAAGCCCAAGTCCCCATACCTTGTATTACCAAGCAACACATCAGTACCAAGGCCCTCTCTCACCTGCTTGGTTCGACTTCTTGATTCCACTGACAGATTATTGTAGGTATAATGAGCTTGTGTGATTCCACAGAAAAGAACAGCTACAACACCTATCAAGAGATTAAAAAAAATAAATGGAAAAAGAGTCAGGAAAAAAGCCTACTAAAACAAGAAGTGAAGGTAGCCTAGCATATCTAATCCTGAATATTTAATAGCTTCCTGCTACTGAAAGCTCCTAATTGCCCCTCACCACTCATATCAACCTTTTCCCTTCCCAAGCCCACCTTTATTTCTTCAAGACCAGGTCTCCCAAATTTCTTCCTTGCTCCAATGCCAAGGGCATTCTCTCTCCTGCTCTAAACTCCTGAGCAATTTGTCATCTGTACTTGGCCTATAGCACTCTTTCCCTTTAAGAGACTGGGAGGGAACCACCATATACTTGGTCATGTTTTTCTCTGTTTTTAGAATAAATGGATTTAATTTCACACCAATGCTTTATATTTTTGTAGTTTTGGTATTTCAGACAACATAGACTTATCCAATCCCTGACGACCTACATTTCCAGTTAAGATAACTACTCTGTTGCACAAGGCAGTGAGTGGACACTTGGGACTACACACTTAAGGGGACTGTCAAGTTTTAAGGAAGTAGGGCATTTTGTTGCAGCATATGATGCATCATTTTGAAAAGATGGTAAAAGCATTTCCTAACTACATTATATATAAAAATCAGTGGTTTTTTTTTTAAATGAGAGAATGTGAGGTCACAATTAACCAAACTACCAATTACAGGTTGAGCACCCCAATCTAAAAATCTTAAATCTTAACTCCAAAATCCAAAACTTTTTGAGCATTAACATGATACCACAAGTGGAAAATTGCACTCGACCTCATGTGATGTGTCACATTCAAGACACAGGTACATAACATAAGTGTCTCTGGGAAAGTAAAGACCCTCCCAGACTTTTTAGCTGTAATACATAACCTTTGTTTCTTGCATAAAATTATTAAAAATATTACATAAAATTACCTTCAAGGTCTATACAAAGTATATCGTGAAACATAAATTAATTTCAGATGTAGACTTGAGTGCCCTCCCTATGATAATCTCATTGTGTATATGAAAATATTCCAAAATTGAAAAAAAAATCTGAAATCTGAAATGCTTTGGATAAAAAAAAATCTGAAATCAAAAATGCCTCTCCCAAGCATTTCAGATAAAGGACACTCAATCTGTGTATGAAACTGGTGCCATAAAAGTATATATTAAAAACAATGATTAATTAGCCCAGAGACAAAACAATGAAAAACTATGCTCTCCCTCATTAGAGTAGATATAAAATTGCCTTTAAAGGATACATATTTGCTGGTTATTGCTACCATTCATAAAATAACGTGCAAATCTAGGGGAGGGTACAAATAAGGTTTGAATATATTCAATAACCTTTGTGGCTAAACATCTACCTTATATTAGAATGAGTATGCAAAAAAATTACCTCAGTTTGGAATAATCAATTTTACCCTTAATAAATAGGAAGGTTTTGGAAACAAGGTTTCATTAAGTCAGAACACTAGCCCGGCTCAGCAATCCTCTACATGGACACTTGTTAAACAGATGATCAACTCCATGTAGCTGCTACTTAAGAATTTTTGCCCCTAAGGCTCCCACAGTCCCCACTGCAGTGAGAAGAGACAGAACCCACCTGTAAAGCCACAGGCTTCAGCCAAGAGAAATGTGCTCCAGGACATGAGAAAGAAGAGCGCTGTCTCCAGCAGGGGGAAGCAGTGCAGCTTGGTGAACTTGGTCACGTTGCACCCTGTCAAGGACCACAGCTACAGACATGGGGATCACCGGCACCAAGATGCTTCCCTAAGGGCCAGCCTTTTCCTTCATCTCTTCTTTGTGGGCCCTAAGGCTGCCCCCCTTTGTTGTGGGGCTGATGATGGGACACAGGGCTTCACACATGCTAGACAAGTGCTCAACCACTATGCTATACCCTTAACCCAGGCATATTTTTTAAGTGTTAAAAATTTAAAGTTCCAGGGACCGAGGGTGTAGCTCAGTGGTAGAGCTCTTGCTTAAGTGTGTGTGGCCCTGGGTTTGATCCCCAGCACGATATTTTAACAAGTTAAACTTTTCAATAAAACAGAGGTTACCAGGGCTATAGGAAAATGGAGGATGGAGAGTTGTGGTTGAATGGGAATGAAGCTTCTGTTGGAGATGAGGAAAAAGTTCTAGGAATCACTCATTGCCTCTAGACTATGCACTTAAAATGGTCCAAAGGCAAATTTGTTATATATATTTTTCCACAATTAAAAAATTAATAATGTAATCTACCAAAAGCCATTGAATTGTACACTTTAAATGGGTGACTTGTGTAGTATGTAATTATTTATTATAACTGTATGAGAAAAATACCTGGCCTCGGGCTTGATTAATAGGTTAGTTCTGACAGAGCTGGAAGGGCCTCAGGTAGGCCTGGGAAGACAGGCCCTTGAGACTCTAAGGCCTGAGTTCATATCAGGTGTCTAAATAGCATGGCACAGAAAGAAATATGCAACTCCCAAAGTAGCTATCAGGTGTTGCTGTCTCATTTTGGGAACATTACCATTCATCACAGGGCTAGCAAAGAACTGTCTCATAAATGGGTTCACTGAGCAATACAAGTTGCAGTGTGCCAAGAGAGCCTTGGTGAACAAAGCCATTAAAATCTACACTGTTTGACACAGTAGCCACTAGTCACATATGGCTACTGAATACTTAAAATGTAGCTAGTCAGAATTGAGATGTTCAGAACAAAACATACAACATATTTTAAAAACTCAGAACAAAAATTAAACATGAAAAACCTCACTATAATTTTTTTTCACAAGAGGCAGTTATTGGGAGGATTATAGTTTGAGGCCAACCTGAACAAAAAGTTAATGAAACCCCAGGCATGGTGGTTCACATATGTAATCCCAGCTACACGGGAGGCATAGTTAGAAGGACTGAGATCCAAGGCCAGTCGTTGGCAATAGGGAAACCCTACTGAAAATTAACTAAAAAAGCAATGGGGGCCAGGGGTATTATTACTCAAGTGGTAGCCACTTGACTAGCAAGCATGAGGCCCTGAGTTCAACCCCATTATCTATACTGATTGCATGTTGAAATGAAATGACTCACAACACATTAGCAATGCCCATCTAAGAGGATATGGTAAGGGATGGAGTGCACATGTGCAGGGGTTGCCTGCCTTTTCCACATTTTGCTTTAAAATTTAAAGCCATCCTTTGCTTGTGGAAGGGCACTCTGCGGTAATTCCCACTGATGACCCTGGCTAATTATGACCATGTGAACACCCCATATGGCCCTGAAAAGCAGACAAGCAGCAAGCTGGGACTAAAGCCCTTCCCAGCCTCTTCTAGGTTCCTTAGCTCTTTTCACCCTCCCTAAAACTGATGGTCCGATTCCAAGATGGCGGCTAGAGGGAGGAAGCAGAAAGCGTGCTTCCTATAGTGAAATCTTGGAGAAACGATGGAGACACACCTTGCAGGCAAAACTTTGACCCCTCCACACCTCCAGCCGGTGCACAGAATCTCCACTTCACGTTAAACGGAGAAACCAGGAGGGCCCCCGGGCGGCCAGTCGCCCGTGCCCAGACGGCTTGGGAAGACGTGGACAAGTTTAGTTCTACTTTATGCATCCCCTTTGATGAGACAACTACAGAACAACATCTGAGGCACCATCTCCAGGATTGGAGGATGAGACGGACACCAAAATTATTAAGACTGAAACTTCATTGCATTTGAACTTGAAGGTATTTTTTTTATTTCCTAATTTTCATTTTGTTTATTTTATTTTTATATATGTATTTTTTCTTTCATTTACTTATTTTTTATTTTTATTCTTACTTTATTCTTTTATTTTTATTCAATCCTCTCTCTGTCTCTCTAATGCCTGTTCAGCTTACTGTTGATTAGTACACTGTCTCTCCCTGTTTATA